TTTGTGAATATTTCATTAATTAATAAAATGTTTGATAATGAAAAAGATTGACATTAAGTTTATTTGCTTTTGTACTAAAATGCACTTTTGGGATAATTCGTGTGTTTTTCTGAAACAAAAATCCCGTTATTTCAAATTTTATATGGATTTTTTAATGCTTAAAAATTTTTCAAGTAAAAAAATATTTTTTGAAGACCGTTTTTCTCTTTTTTATTTGGAAAAAAATAAGCGAATTTATTACAAAAAACGATTCCCAAAAATAATAAACAAAATAAATCCAAAAAATCGGGACACCCCAGTACCGACTTTTGAAAAACAGTTTATATTTATAATAAAAATATACTTCGTTATATAGTTTCGATAATGAATAAAAAATGCCGAAGACACGAAAATAATAGAAAGGACACAATATACACAGGAGGACGTCCTTTATAGCGGGAGGACGTCCCTAAACCACAAAGGACATCCTTCGGCCTATATTCCCTTCCTTCGTCCCCATGTCCGTCCTTTCTCTCAATTGATACAAAAAGATATTTATTAGAAAAAATTTAATAAATATTTATTTTTTAATGTTTTTTAATTATAATTTATTTATTAATAAATATTAATAATAATTTATAAATAATAACAAATTAAGAAAATAAAGAAATAATATAATAATATATATAAAATCAATTGGTTATTATTGTTTCAATAGATGTAGTAGTTTGAGTAGTGTTACAATACCATCAAGTGTGACATCAATTGGTTATTGATTTTTTAATACAAATATTATATTTCAAATTTTTATTTGTTATTATTTATTAAAAAAAAGGTGAAAAAATTAAATTAAATTATTTAGAGAAATTGATAAAATCAATTACGTTAATAGCGTTAAAAGTATATATGGAGGCTCCTAAAGTCGGCCCCCCTCCCTCACCCACCTCCAGAAAACAGAGATTACTTAAGTGTAAGATTGTGTAAAATGGTGAGTATATACCACGTCATTAAAAAATAATAATATAAGTTAATATAATAGAATTAAATGATATTAAAGAAACAAGTTAGAATTACTAAAAATGATCTTGATAATAAAGTCAAAAATTTAGAGGGCAAAAAGCAAGAACAATTAGTATTATTACTTAATAAAATAGAAGAATTTGAAAGCAATCAAATTAATATGAGAGATGGAATTATTATTAATATTTATAAATAGAAACTTTTATTTTCATAACAATTATTGGTTCTGGTATATCGATATCATAATCTGAGTTTACAGCTTTAATTATTTCATTATGATTTAATATTCTTGTTTTTAGAACCCTAATCATTTTGTTCAAAGCATATTTATCTGTTAAAGGATATGTTTTATTCCAACCTTCATTAGTTTGGTAATTACATTTTCATTACTTTGTATAGTTTTAAGATAATCATTCAAAATTTCTTTAAATCTTTCCATTCTTTTAGTTGAAATTTTATATCCACATCTAAGATCAACAAATAAGGATTTGTTATCTAAATCATATTTAACATAATCAAGTTTATTAATTTGTTCCGTCATTTTAAGGAAGATAAAAAATCATATTAATATAAATTTTCTTTAAAATTTCATTAAATTAAATTTACAGTATTACTAAGCGAGTTTGATAAAACGAAGAACCGTAAAGGAATGTGAAATTCTAGAGACATCACCGATGTCGATATTTTGGGAAAATTCAGATCTACGCGTTGGGGCTTCGCCCCTTCAGGTTTTAAGGTTTCAAAGAAACCTCAGAAACGAAAAGTTTTGTAGAAAACCCTAGAGTTTAGTTAAATTATTTTAAAATATAGATAAAATGGGCGCCCCCCAAATCCACATAATTTATAAACTACTACGAACAAATTGATAATAAATAAGTTCCTTTTTTTAACAAGATTATATCCGATGTTTATTGCTTTATTAAAATATTTACCAAAATGATGAAATGTATTATCAATCAATAATTTGACATATGGTTTAGGTGCTTTTATTATAAACTGGAAACAAAAAATGAACTAGTCATTTTTACTATCTGATATAATTATAAATATAGTTTGAAGTTTTTATTGTTAAAAAACAAATAAAAACCCGCAGTTTTTTTTTCAAGAAGTAGTTTGAATCAGGTCGGTTTCAAATAACTTATCTCTTTCGTTTATTTTATAAGATTAGTGAATTAGAATTCTTTGATTATAAAAATAACCTTAAAGTAGGGGGAGTGAGGGGCTTGAAGAAACTGAGGAGTTTGACCTATTGTTTTATTATATTTTTTACTATACAGTATTTTCCCGGTTCTATTTATAAAATAACAAAAACTATAAATTATTTATAAAAAATGTTAAAAAAATATTTTTACCTTATCTGAAATAAAATAAAACGTTTTTTTTTTGAAAAGAAAAAGTAAACAACCTTAGTGTTATTAAGAAAATTGAATGGCTTATTTTCATTGTTTGAAATAACCAAGATTTAATTCACAAAGCTTCAATTATTTTGTTTCTATAACAGCACAAATACAACTTCTTTCTACAAAGTATTTCCTTTAGCCATAATAGACAAGTTGTTCCTCATACAAGCCAACTCGTCTCACAATTTGTTGTGTATTCGGAGTTGTTAAAATACTAGCTTAAATGAATACTCTGATGATTGAAATCAATTGAAGCCAATTTCGCAGTAACCGAAGACTTGAATTGATTTTTGGGTGAGACAACATAGCGATAGCGATAGCAGATCATTACAAGTTCTAAGAGAACAAAGAGAGCTGAGAGAGCATATTTGTGTTTCCATTGATCGTCATACCAAAAAGGTGTTGGGAGCATTTGAGAGCAAAGCAACAAAAATATCATTTTTGCATCATATAAGCGTTCTGGTGTTGTTGGGGTTAATATTGGCAAAATCAAAAGAATGTTCGTTTCTATAAAAGAGGCTTCCAGATTGTTACAAAAAGCCAATGGTGTTTATAGCAGAGAACACTTGGAATTGTTTGTTCTTCTGTTTAGACCAACATATTTGGTCAAATCCGAAAAGGAAAGTTTGCCTTCCAATATTTAAGAGCTGAACTAACAACGAGAGCCATATCAAACAAGAAGACTGACGCCTACCAATGACTTTATTGAAACAACCCACAAACAAACACCCAAGTCGTTTTTAATACAATTTCAAATTCTGACTTTATGCTAAGGATGAACTAATACTTTTATAATTTATAAACTATAATATATAATTTAAGATTGTGTTTTCAAATAGAACATTAAAAACAGTTTTTATCTAAATGTAGTAAAAAACCATTTAAAGTTTTGGTCAAGCCTTTCACTCCCCCTAATTTATTAATAAAGTCAAAAATATTAATAAAAATACTCAGTAGCCTCTGCATTTACTATTATAAAAAGCCTTCCTATCACTTGGGCATTTGTTTGAGCCAGACACTTATCTTTGTTATATAGGCTTTACTCCTTTGCATTGTAATCAAGTGAAAACACATAATAGTTGTCTGGTCAGATGTCTGTATATATATTTTTGATGTTTTTTGGTTTAATGCATACTTAAGTATTTTATACTTTTTACTGGAATAAGTCAAATAATTTTTTAATTAGACTTAATTTTTTTTATAAAAATGTTTTTATTTTAAACATTTTTATAAAGATCAAATTTATAAACTAAACAATTGTGTTATAAATAGGTATTATTTTAAATTATTAATTTCTATTAATAATATTTATACATTTTGTTTGTTTGCATTAACACTTTAAATAACATTAAACACAATTCAAGTGGTCTAAAAATCGGGAAATATCGAGTTTATTAAATAAATTTCCGTTTTTTTAGAGATTAGATTATGTGCATAAACAATACACAAGCCAAAAAAGAAAAATCATCAAAAATTGGATTAATATCCCTGGAAAAATAGGCCAAAACAAAAATAAGTGTGTTATTTTTAGGGTTAATGAATTTTAATTAAATAAACGAAATTGTATTTGTTTTTGGTGTTTTTACTTATAGTTAATTTACTATACATAGTCATATAAAAGCATGTTTTTATCGTGTTAAAAATCATATTATTTCAAAATATATACTGAATTCATCAAACTTCTAAATTATAATAAATTTAAATAACAATAAATTACAGTCAAAGTCGCTTATTTGTAGGTTTTCGTATTTGTGGGTTTTGCTTATTTGTGGATTAATTGACCAATCAAAATCAAAACATACAAATAGGTTGTAACTTCTCGAAATTGAATAATTAATTGAAATCAAATAAAAATAACTATATTTTTGGAGTTTATAAGAAACAAAATCTAAAATGGAATAAGACTTCTTTTGTATTTTTTAACTTATTTAATCTAATTATTATAAGTTTCTGTTTAAATGGTTTCAATATTTAATAATTGTTTTTATATTTTATTAAAAAAATACTATAATTAAAAAAATTTTTTGATTGATAATACAAATGTGGTACTTAGGTTTCGACTAATAATTGATAATTTTTATACCATTGAATAAATTATTAATAAGAGTTATATTTGGACGTTTTTTTGAAAATAATTAGAAACCTTGTTTATTATTATTTAAATAGTATTCAAATAATAAAACGAAACCTTACTATTCGTCGAAACTTTAGTCTCATACCTGTAATTATATTATCAGTCTTAAAACTATAATAGCAAATTTTTGGACTATTAATACTGGAATATTACGGGAAATTGTTGTAAAATCTATAAACACTATTATTTAATTTTATTTGGTTTCCCAACTTTAAATTAATTTCTATTTTTAAGGCTTATTTTGTGTATTTATTTTGCCAAACAAACAACTATTTACAAACAGACTTTAGTAAAAGACTAAAAACTAAAATTATGGTTATTTTTATTATTTTTTGATAATTAAAATAAATCAAAGAATATTCTTCCAAATTCTAAGCAAAACCTACAAATAGACAGCTTTTTATGCAAGAAAACCCACAAATAAGCGACTTTGACTGTATTTATTTAATGGTGTCAAACTAATAGAATTAATTTAATTTTTGTTGTTTATGTGTAGCAGTATATTCCATTGGATAAATATCATGAGTTGCGTAATCTTCTGTCCAATCATTAAATTCATTCGAACACGCTGCAGCATAGCACCACACCAAATTAAAACCATCTAAATAATCTACTTTTTGATACTTTTTGTCGGGGTCAGTAGAACCAGTTAAGTAACATTTGCCAATTTTGTAAACAACATAATATGTGTTGTTTACAAAATATTCGATTGCAAACATATCTATTTTATCTGTAAGATCCAACGAACCAAGCTTTTCGATCAAAGCTTTTAGTTCATCAGATATTTTGCTAATTTCAACTTCTTTGTGAGAAACATCTTCTTCTGATGCATCAACAATCGCATATTTTTCTTCTTCTGGTTCTATTACTTCTTCTATAATAGTCAATTCTTGTATCAAGTTCATTCTTTTTAATTTAGATATATCTTTGTTCAAATGAGTTTCAATGGTTTCTTCATCGGTTGTGTTGTTTAATGAAACATCATTTGGAACCGAACTTGCAACAAAGCATGGTGATTTGTCATAATTCGGATTGTACAATCTACTTTTTAACCAACACTTTAAAACACTTTCCTTTGTTGTCAAATCCCATGCTGCAAAAATGAGAAGAAATGCTTCAACTATACCGATTGAAACAATCTTTTTGACGTTTACTGAGAGATGTTTATCAACCATGTTTTGGTACTGTTCAATAATTTTACCAATAAACAATTTTTTGTTGTACCTTTTAAACGTGTATATTATTCCCATATCCAGGAGGTAAGAAGATAACGAATATGTGTTTTAAATACAAATCTTTGACGATGGTGCCAGATTTAATTAATAAAGTGTGACTGCTACAGTTATCTATAATCAGAAGAATTTGTTTTTCGGTGTTGATTATTTCAATTTAGTTATCCCAATCTAACAAGTATTTTTTGAATATTACTGTATTCATCCGAGCTTTTTACTCGAAGTGTATTGTATGTTATATTTAGTTTGAAGAGTTTGTTTGTAATTCTTTGGTTTTTCATATTTGCCGATAATAAGTGGTAATTTTTATCAGAACCAGTAATATTTGTCGTAAATAATATCGAAAGGCTCTTTTTATCGTTGATTATTCCAATATTGGAATTCGAAGAAAGCGTCCTTTTCCCCCATATTTCTGATCAACAGAGATGTTTCGTCACAATTATAAACCGACTCAATTCCATACACATTAACAAAGTAATCAACTATAGTTTGAATTGTTTCAATGCTAATCTCACATTTTTCAAATCAACTAAATGTGCACTTTCAAACATGATCTTTGTAAAAAGATTGTGACCTTTTTAAATCCACTTAACCACCCATTTGACAATTTAAAGTTTTCTAACAAATCAAGAGTATCAGCCTGCTTTTCATTTAAAACGTAGCTTTCCTACAATTTGTTTATTGATTCGTTTATAATTTTTTGAAATGTAGTTTTAATTGAAACATCTGTTATAGGCAAGTTGTCTTCAAGCAAGTCGTTAATTCTATTGATTGCCTTTTCTTCTTCTTTTGGAAAAAATGGATTTTTGGTTTTTCTTTTGTCTTCTCGTGGTTTTAGTTTATAAAAATAATCAGTACTTGGTTGTTTTAATTAATTGAAAGTGTTTTTGTCCAGATTTTTAATTCTTCATTTGGAATTTCATCTTTTTTGTTGATAATTTTCCGTTTTTCATCAATTGTCAATTCTTGAATTCCTTTTCCTTGTTTTGGATCAAGCTTTTTTTTCATTCAGTTTGTATTTTAAAAGTCCATATTTTTTTTTCCAAGTAAAAAAAATAATGACAAATCAATTAAGAATTCAATAATATTGGAATTCTTTTATAACTCAATTCAAAATTTATTTTTCATTCTTACTGATTTTTATTTCTGTGATAACAAATATAAATTTTGTCGTTTGTTTTTTTTTTGTTTTTTCTTTTTATTATTTTTTGAGTAAAAAAATTATCAAACAAATTTTATATTTTCTGAAACTAATAACAAAACCATTTTTACTATTATATAATTTTTATATAATTATAAACAATCCAGTTTATAAAATATCCAACATTTAATATCCAGGTTTTACTGTAATAATCTTTTTGAACGAGATTTATAAAAAAGTAAATATAAAAACAAATAAACTCTATTAACATACAATGGAAAACGAGTTAACAGCACTCTCAACACTCTGCACTAACGCAGCAAAGGCGGTGTCAGACCTCCACAAAAATAAAAAGGAATACAACTTTGTTGACGATAAGTCACTTGACATTGATCAACGCATCGAAAATGCAGAGGGACACTTCGACAGACTTGATGAGGTATTTGAGAGAAAAAAGAACATCACAACTTCACTCAACACCATCGTCACTGATTTGGATAACACATCCAACAAAATCAAAAGTGAAATAAGTCTGTATTCAACTGAGAGTGACAACAACAAGTTGTATGAGATATTCAATATCAGAATTGCACTTCTTGAAAAGAAGTGCAAAATTGACACAAAACCACTTGAAGATGAAATTGACAGAATCAAACAAACAAAAAACAATAAAATTGATCAAATTATGAAATCAGAAAAATTCATCAACTCAAAGAAACAACACGATGATGAAAAAGAAATAAGAAGCCGAGAGAATAAAACGTGAACATATCACACTTGAAGAAGAAGCCGGTCTTGAGAAATTGACTGGAATGAAGATTGGGAGTGTTGTGTTTGACTCATACAAAAACGACTGGTCACAAAACAATTCCTCATTTAATACAAAAGTCATCAACAAAATCAATTTATGTTTTTTGATAGAAGACACAAATCACAACAAATTTGGTGGCGTGTTCACTAGTAATATAAATGCAGTTGATAAATGTCTCAACAGTGGCAGTTCTTACATCTTTTCACTTATGAGAAATGGCACTTTGAATCCAAAAAAGTTTGGAAAGAGTGGCAAATATAATAATTTTGAATTTTATATCGATTCTCAAAATATTTCATTTCTTTTTTCATTTGGTTATGGTGATATATTTGTGTACAAGAAAGGTGAAAATGGTAATCATTGCAATCCATACACTTACACCGCCAAAGAAAACGAGTTGACTGACAATTGCAAATTCACACCTAAGAGTGTTGTTGTCTTCCAACTTAACTGACTTTTTGTCATTTTTTTAATCAAATATTTGCAACACATTGACTCCATAAGTGCCATATTTGTAATTTGCCACGTCACCACAACATGAATTAATGTACACAAGTTTCAACAAAATCTGTCCTTTTTGAAGGGCCGGACAGACGGAAAGAAAACAGGTTTTACCCTTCAAACCTAACACTGGAACGAACACTCGATTAGGACATCTTTAATGTTTCTTTTTCAGGCATCTCCTCTTTGTGTCCCGTTGTATCTTTCTGAAGTATGTTAATTGGAAAGTAGTTTGGTATTTTATTTATTATGGGTTTTCTCAAACTACAAACTATAGTAAAATTATTAAAAACATATTAAAGTTGATATTTTTCATCTAAAAACAAATAGCACAAATGTTGATATAATTAATTATAATTTAATAGTTTGGTAACACAATTTATTTTTTGAAACAAAAAACTAAGAAAAGATCAATAGACTTTATCACATAATAAGAATATTACAAATGACAGTATATAGTAAATTGACTATTTTAAATAAATAAAAACATCAGTGATGTTGTTAAGATGAATCGCTACTTTTAAATGTATTTTTGGGTTCTATAGATAAAGTAAATATGACTTTATCAATTTGTATCAATTTGTTATAAAAACTATGGTTCCTTATTAAAAAAAACATCACAATTTTTTTTGTCATCGGAAATATCCATCACTCAATGAAAATTATTTGAAAAGGCATTTTTGGAATTATTAAAGTCTACCCATAGATTCTAAGTTAGACTTTTAATTAGAGTTCATATTTCAAAGGCTCGAGGCATCTAGTCGAAATTAAACTATAAAAAATAATAAAAATATTGTATTTATTAATAACTTGACTCTTGTATTTTAACTGGATTTTAATTAAAAAAACTATAAAACAATGTAATAATAATTTATCCTTGTCTTTTTGTGTTTTACTTGAATCAAATTGTTCGTAGTCTTCAAAAGTAATTGCAATCACCTGATCAATTTCAAGTTGTTTGTTGTTCAGATCTTCACCAGCCTTTCTGACCTGTCTTCCAACTCAACAATTCTCAATTCGCCATCTCTGACTGATTGTTGTGTCTTCTTCAAATCGGCTTGTGTCTTACCAATTTGAGTGTTGAAAGTAGATTCTTTCTGTTCGAATTCTGCAAGCTTTCTCTCAGCCTCTTCAACCTTTCTAGCATACTGTTTAGCTTGTTTCTTAGCTTTAGCAGCTGCGTTTTGTGCTTCTTCCTTTTCTGTTTCGATTCCTTCCAATTCTGTTTCATATTTCGCTTTCAATTTAGCAATAGAAGCTCCAGTAGCACCAGAGTCCGCCAATTTAGCTTCAGCGTCGGTGACTTTAGCTCTGAGTCTTTGAGTTTCTTTGTCAGCCTCTTGTTTCATTGCTCTCTCCTTCTCAAGTTCCTTCTGTTATTCAGCCTTTTGAGCAGTCAACGAGTTAATAAATTCATCAACATGTTACTTATATTCACCAAATTCGTTTTCACTTCTCTGAGTTTGTCTGCATATTTCTTTTTCTGTTCTTTAGTCTGTTGAGCAGTAGTTCTTTCAAAATTAAGTTGCTCATTCAATTCACTCAATTCCTTCTCATAAGTGTTTTTCAACTGTTTATAAGTCTTCGCAGCTTGTTCAAGGGCTTCCAATTCAGTCTTCATCTCAGACATATCGTCTTCAAGTTTGTCGCATTCGTCTTGTTTCTCGTCGAGTTCTGTCTTTGTTTTCATCATTTTTTTAAAAGCTATTTATAATTTTTCATAGTCTTGACTTTGTTCAGCCATCTGGACTTTCTTCTCAAATGTTTTAGCTCTGACTATGATTTCAGCGATATCCTTCTCGTATTTGCCTTTAATCAATTGGGTCTTAGTGTGATCTTTCTTTTCTTGATCAAGTTCAGTTCTAACACTCATCAATTCGTCTTGATATTTCTGTTTCATCGCTTCATTGCCATCTTTGTCATCATTTGCAGTGTCAAGTTGTTTCTGTGCCTTGTCGACTTCAGCATTCAAGTCGTTGATCATTTTGTCCTTTTCCTCCAAATCCTTTCATTCTTATTCTCATCAGTGAGTTGATCAACTTGGACAGTCAAGTCATTCGCCTTTTTAGTCAACTTCTCTTTAGTGTTATTTGCTTCATCTAAGTTGAACTGGACTTCCTGTAATTTGCTCTCAGCAGCCTTTCGAGCAGCATCTGCACTGTCAAGTTTCTGTCTTTCTTCATCTGGTTGGGCTTGAATTCCAGCAATTCTTGCATTCAACATGTTCTTCTCTTCTTCTTGAGCAACTGAAGCTGGTGCACTGACTTGGACTTTAAGTGACGAAACTTGTGCTTTTAGTGCTTTGACTTGGTCTTCCATCTTCTATCAGATTGGTCCGCGGCAGTCTTCTCAGCCTCCGCTTTGTTGTCCAAAGCCATCTTCTTTTGTGCTTCAAGTGCCTTTATATGTGATTCATTATTCTCAATATTCAAAGCGTCTTCGACAGATTGCTTCTTCATATCCTTCTTAGCAGCATCAAGTTGAGTGTTCTGGTCTTTCAACGCAGCAACTGCCTTCTCCAAATCAGCAATTTGGTTGTCTCTCTTGATGACCTCAGTTTGATCAATATTTGAAGTCCCAACTGGTCTATATTCAAGGTCTTGTACTTGTTGTTCCAAATCTGCTATTTTCTTCTTGTCTTTAACTGTTCTGTCTCTTAATTCAGTCAACTCGGTGTGTTTGCTTCTAAGTCTCTTTGTAACTTTTTGATTGAACCATTCAAGTTGTTGGTCTCATCTTCGTGTGCTGAGACCAAGTTAATGAGTTGGTCATATTCGTCTTGAAGCTTCTTCTTTTCAGAAGAAAGTTGGTCTTTGTCATAAGCCAAGTTCTTCATGTTCTCTTTAATTTCCTCGTTTTCCGTTTTCAACTTCTTCGCTTCTATTTCTTTCACAAATTTGTCCTTCTTGACTGTTTCAAGCTCTTCGTTAACTTCAGCAACTTCTTGTTCTTGTGAGTAAGTTCGTCGACTTTGGCACTCAATTCCTCAAGCTTCTTATTGTTCTCATTAACAGTTTCATTGAGTTTCTTCTTATCAGCGGCATCAGTGTCGGCATTCTTCTTGAGGTAGTCAAAGTTTTGTTGGAGTTGGTCAAGTTCGGCTTTAGTTCTTCCCAAGTCATTCTTAGCAATTCTCAACTTCTCAATTGCGGCTTCAACTTCTTCGTTAAGAGCAACTTTTTCTCTTTCAGCGTCTTTCAATTTGGCATCGACAACTGATTTGGCTTTAGTCAAATTGTCATTGTCAGTTTTCAATTAAGTCAGTTGCTTTTCTTGAGCATCTTTCTTTCTGTTCATATTCTCAGCATCAGCTTCAAGCTTGTCTTTCTTATTAATAGTTTAGGCAAATTGTTCATTCAAGTTATTAATTTCAACGTCTTTTTGATGCATATTCGATTTGGCACCAGCCAAGTCTTTTCCAGTCTTCTCCATATCGTCTTTCAACGCTTGGATTTGGGCTTTGTAGTCGGCTTTCTGTGCTTTCAACATATCAGAGTCTATCAGTCCGTCTTCAATTTTCTTAACCAACTCAGCAAGTTTTCTATTTTTATCTTCTAACTCATCTTTCTCTGAGTTCAATAATGAAATCTTTTTATCATCTGCATTCTTGCTGAAGTCAAAGCTACAATCTTGGTCTTCTCAGCTTGCAATTGTTGGTTATACCCATCTTTTTCGTCTGAGACATTCCTGTTCTGAGCAACTTGTTAGTCGAGTTTCTTCTCAGTATTGTCAAGAGCCAATTGAGTCTTTTTCAAATCATTTTTACTCTAATCTCTTCAATTTCAGCAAGAACACCAACTTGAAGAAAACCTTGATTTTACCAAACTTGAAATTCTTCAGTGTAACTTTTGCCATCCTTCTCACAAATTTGTTTCATGAGTTCTTTGACTACTGGCATGGCGTCTGAAGTCACTCCATTTGCTGTCACCTCAAAAATTGAGACTAACAAGAAGTGCCCACTTGCAGATAATTCATTGATTCCATCAGTTACTATCATCGACCCAATGTTTTGTGTCTCGTTAACAAAAAGAGCTTTTGCAGACTGTGGTATCGATGTATTGTCCATGCAGTTGAGGCTTATGTCTCAGTCATGGCAAATGAGTACAAAGATGGTCTTGCCAAAGAAGAAGTCAAATTAGTCTTGACAACTTGGTCATTATTCAACGTGGTTTTTATTGCAAGAGAGAAGAGGCACAATGCAGCTACCATTGATGGTATAACCTTTGTTTTCGCGTTCCTTGGGATTATTCACTCAATTTTTCACAAAATAGGAGCCGCTTTCCATTTTCCATATAATCGATGTGTTGCAGTGTTGTTACCACATGTTATTCGGTACAATGGTGTTATCTCAAGAAAGATGGCGTAGTGTCCAAAGTACAATTTGTATGTTGCAGACCAGTAATATAAGCAATTTGCACAACTAATCGGGTTAAAATCTGAGACTACGGCCGAGGAAGTTGAAGTTCTTGCGAAGGCATTACTTCAACACACATCGTTTTTTTTAAAAAAGTATTTGAGATAATTGAAATCCAAAAAATACAATTGAAACATAAAAATATATACTTTTACAACTCTTTATTTATGGTACATTATAATAAATAAACTGTACGTTATAATTTTTTGTAATAATATCCACTATCTCTGTGTATGAAATGTATTAATTCTTTGCTTAACCGGCCAATGGTATTTTTTTTTCTTTTGCAAAATGCACGAGAGACGTAAAATTGCGTTTTTTTCCCTATAAATATAAAAATGAGAAAAAATTCTAAAAATAATTTAAACTGTTTTTCAAAACTCTGTACTGGGATGCCCCGATTTTTTAGACAAATAATTTCCAAATAATTTTTCCTTTGCTTAACCCTCATTTTTTGTTATAAATATTTACTCAAAAAAAACAAAATAACGAACCTGACTTTTTTAAATATTACTTGACAAATAAATCTTGCACCAAAAATTTACTTGAAAAATATAAAAAACAAACTTGGGATCAAAAATTTGATTACCATAACCCAAAATTTGCCAAAAAAACGTAAACACAACTTTATAATTAAATGCCCATGTTTACAGAATCACCAAGTTGTGTTTTGGATAAAAATGAAAAGTACTAATGAGTAAAACAAGCATTGAGAGAAGATAAATTGGTTAAGGCTATACAATTGAAAAGTTTTTTTAATTTTTGAACTGTTTATTTTATTTTATACTCTTTTGATTAATAACCTTGATTGTTTAAATGTTTGTTTTATGTTATCGATAACTTTTTTAATTGTTGAAATAAACAAAAACTTATTATTTATTAACGTGTTGTATCATTTGATGTAATAATGTCCTTCATCACAACATTTGTTTATTGTTATATTATTGTTTATCTTGTGTTTGTTAGAAATATGTTGTTTTACTTACGTTTAATTACAAAATAAACCACTGACCAAATAACGAACCTGGAAAATCGGAGAAGATTTACCCAATATTTGGGTGATTTCCCGATTTTTTGTTCGATAATTGAAATTGTATTGAATTTTAAGGGTTTTAAACTGTGTACCGTTGTTGGTTCAACAAATAGGAAAATAAAAAATAAAACAAATAAAAAATAGTAAATAACGGGAAATTAGGACAAAGGGTTTATATAAATTTTGGAAACGGTACAGAGTTTTGGAAAACAGTTTACATTTAAATTTGCTATTGTATGAAAAGGCATATTTCAGCAGTTTTCACATAACAGTGAGAGATCAGACACTAGGTTTTACAACTATTCTAATGCGATTTTATCTTTAGGTCTCGTTTATTTTAATCGGTTAACCTTATGAAGGTGATTGTGATAGTAACGTTTTTATTAGGGTGGGCAACAGTTAACAAAATATTTGATGTTTGCACTTTTTTTAACACAAAAACATACTTTGCTTTAATTGTTTTTTTACAACTAATTTCGATCTACAAAATCTAGAGATTTTTTTAAAAGATCTGCCTTAACGACCAAAAAATCAAAGCTAAAAAATTGAACATAAAAAAATATTTTTTGTCACGCCCCTATAATTGAATAATTAATATAATTACATGGTTCAACCAAAAACCGATTGTGAAGGATTGTGTAACTATCGTTATAGTTTTGTTATTGTATTTTAATTGAAGTATAGTTTTAAATTAATTTGTTTATGTTTTCTTGTTTTGATTCATATAAACATATAATTGTTTTATTATAATTATACTATAAACAAAGTCGCACTGACACTTCAAAGTTGCAAGGTTTTCAGAATAACTTTTCTTAAACATAAATTACAAATAATTAACACTTTTGAAAACATTTAAAACAATTCTTCGATTTTAAATGTTTTTTTAAAATATAACATTTATAACAATAGTATATTTTATTTGTTCCTAATTATTTAAATGTTATTTATTTTTTTGTAAACATTTTTAATAATAACAATAAATTAAAAATTTTATATTTATATATCAAAATAATATATTAATAAAATTGTTGTATATTTCAAGTTATTTAAATTTATTATCAAAATTTAAATGATACCCAAAAATATACTAAAAGTTTAAAGACATCAATAATAACATTTCAATATTTTCATTGTATTTTTTAAATATAATATTTTACTCACAAACACAAATTGTTAATTTTTCATTGATAATTATTATTTAAAACTATAGTTTAAAAAATACTGTTAAAATTTAATATAGTCATGGTAAAAAAAGGTTGTTGAGTAAAAATGGTTGTTGATTGAATAAAGGTTCGGTTTATTTTTGTATTTCAAGAAAAGTTACAAATTTCTTCGCATCATTGAAATAATATTGAAAATATGTTTTTGAGCAAATAAAACTATTTATAACAAAGGAGTGTATTTTTAAAACAAATTGTTTTCTTCTCAATCTCAACGTTTTTGTGTGTTGATTTTATAAAATGTATAACATTTTCAATTTTGAATCGAAAATTGTTTTTTTGTAATTCGAAAAACAAGTATAGTTCAATATAGTTAATATAGTTTCTGAAAAAATGAAAGTGCTTTTTTTTCACCATGTTCGAAAAATAGAACACAAACAAGGATAATCATAAAAACGATAATTGACAGTATTACAATTGGTTGTCAATTGTATAACATTAAGAGCTGTTTATTGAACATTATAGATATTACATTATTTATAATCATTGTTGTTTATCAAAAAAAGAAAATGAAAGTGCTTTTTTTCACCCCCTTTCATTTTTTGAGTAAAATAAGAAATGAAATTGAAAAATTATATCATTGTTAAATTTGAGTACTCCTCTTTATTACAAACGACATTTGTATTGGAAGCAAACTATACACAATCATGAGTTTCAAAGTTATGGTCACACAATTGTTTTTTAAATTTATTTTCTTGATAACATGAAAAATAGAAAATAAAGAGTCAATTGCTACATAAAAAAACAGGAAATCACCCAAATTTTATAAAAATATATTGCGATTAGATGTCAAATTGTTGGGAAAGAATAAAGACAATTTTTCGAAACACTTCAAATTATAATTATTAATAAAATTAACCATTAATTATAATAAAATTAACAAATACAGCTGGTTTCAGAACTCAATAATCATGTCCAAACCACAGCGAAAACCCGCTTCAAAAAAATTGGATTTGAGCGTGTTGCGCCACAGTACCAAATCAGGTCGTGGCTGTGATTTTTTGGATTTCTGTGAAACCCATGCAACAGAAATCATGGAATGTCTAACATTCCAACAACAAATGAAATTGTTGAGAAGTGAAAAATGGCTTGAAAAGGTTTCAATTGAAACGAAAGCCAAAGTGTTGGGTGTCTCACCCTCGACGGCCCGCCTCAACAACTTGTATGACGATGTCGAAGGGAAGTCTGGAAGAAAACGAGAAATTAATCAATCGAGGATGCCGTTGTTGTTGGAAACAATTCGAGAAAGACAAAACACCACCAAACCAATCACCACTAAAGAAATGGGAAATGTTGTAGAAGGAGTTGTTGGGAAGAAAGTATCAAAAAGAACCATCGCAAACAGTTTGAGAAGGGAGGGTTTAATTAAGAAGATTGCAAAACCAATGGATAAAGAGAGAGCTGAGCTGAGTAAAGATGAGTTAAGAAGCTATGAAACTAGAGCTGTTGATTTGTTGAACAATGACAAACAATATGCCGGCGAAAGAGTTGTTCACTTGAATGGAGTTAAACCCTCCCTCCTTATCAACATGGACGAAAGTGGTTATTGTCCATTTGTGGACTCAAAAAGGAGCAACTTTTATGTTGACGACAACTATGACTACACCAACTCTTACTCTGTTGATCGCTCTCAAAAACGCATAACATTGATTGCAGGAATATTTGCCAACAACACCACGCTGAAACCAATGATCATACTATCAAACTTGACAATGAAAAATGAAATCGACAGATACATAGACAGAGATGATGTTGAAATTGCATATCAACGCAAATCCTTCATTACGGAAAACATATACACGTTGTGGCTTGAAAGATGTCTTAAACCAGAACTGGAATTAAGAAGAAAAAATTGCCCACAAGAATGGGCGGTTTTAATACAAGACAACTGTGTTAGCCACATTAAAGATGGTGCTAGAAAGTGGCTGTTCGAAAATAAAGTGGCTTTATTATTATTGTGCCCACACAGTAGCCACTTGTCTCAGCCACTGGACGTCGTCATATTTGGCGTTCAAAAAGTTTGTTTTTTATTATGAGAGAAATTACTGAAATAATATTATTATTCAAAGCCGTTATAAGTCTTGTTAACATGTTTACTTTTCTTTTATTGTTATTAACTGATAGAGAGCAATGGGTTCTTCGGTAGTTTCTCGACTTGTTGGTATGAAGTACCCCATTGGTGTTATGTCTCAAAAAGATGATGTTGAAGATGAAGTCAAGAAGGCTACAAAGCGAAGAAAAATAGAAATTTTAGAACTCAAGGATCAAGATGGTGCAATAGATGCTGCTAAGTTGGAAGAGTTGTCTGTTTGTATGGTCACAAAAAGAGTCTTTGAAATCATCCAATCGTTCAAAATTGCCTGCGTAAACAACAACAACACCTCAGCCTTTCACATGTGTGGTTACGTAAAAAAGCCAATTGGAAAAGAAAAAGAGGGTACTTATGATGTCAGAATTTTCTACTGTAGGGAGTATGCCTTCCGAATTCGATAGTTTTTGGGCGAACAGGTTTGCGTAGTTCCTGTTGCCTTTCCTGGAAGAAGAAGCAACTTAAACATTGATAAAAACGAAGGCATTTTAAAATGATTGAAAAAGTCGTGTTATGTTTGATTTATTTTTTGAATATTTCCTGATAATTTCAATGTAAGTTGGGCTGACCTGTAAGATTAATTAAAGTACACAAGTTCAAAAGGAATTTAAAATGATATTTATTTTTATTATTCAATCATTGATAATATTATTTAAGTTTAAAATAATAAAAATATGGTTTTAAAAACGTCTTTTTGATACAATTGTCAAATTATGACATCTTGTAAACTTTAAGTTTTTACAGATCAACTCTGATTTTTACATATTTAACAGATCAATTAAACTGATATTTTTATTATTTAATCGCGTTTAAGTAACAACTGCATTTTCCTTAATTATTATAACATCGACAATCTTTTTTTTCACGACTGCTTATTATTGTTTGTTTTTTATTTCTCTTTATTCAATGTGTTTATCGATAGCTTTATTTGCTTTAGTTGAACCAATACTGGTTGTCAAAAAGGTAGAATTGTGGAGTTTGTTTACGTTTTGTTAATACAGAAGGTGTTGACCGTATAGGTTTAGCGTTTCTTTTGATGATTGGCTTTTTACTTGTTTAAAGCATAAAATACTCTTGCCATTGACTAGAGCATTCATCTAATTGAAACTTTTATCATTTTTTTGTTATTGTTTTTTGTTATTGTTTATAAATGAGAAGAAATCTTCTTTCCCTTCATTTTCTATTTATTTTTTTTTCGTTTTGATTTGAATAATATGTTCTTTTTAGTTCTGTTTGAAGGGAAAACAACTTCAATTAAAGGTACACTATAAGTGTAAATTTTATTGAAATGTAAAAATAAACCGAACCTTTATTCAATCAACAACCATTTTTACTCAACAACCTTTTTTACCATGACTATACATATTTTTTATTATTAAAATATCAAAACACTTAACATTGTTTTATCAAAGAACAATTATTCTGATTTGCAATGAAAGATATTTGTCTGTTTTTTATTATTGCTTTTAAAAGTACTTTAATATATTATTTTAGATTACAATGAAGAATACGTTGTCATACACACATTTTATACTGTTTTTCATGTCTATTGGTTATTCAATTACTTGGTGTGAAGAGAATAATGAAATTAGTTTAAATTCAAATGATAATTTTTGTAATCGATCCGGCTGGACAGTCACATATAATTATGATGATTATTATTTCACATTCAAACATTATTGTTGTTCTTTTCAAACAATGATTTTCCGTGAAAATGAAACAGATAAATACACCATTCGAAATTTTACATTTCAAAATCCATTTAATTTAAAAGCGTTATATATTCAAGAAAAAAATGAAAATGTTAGAATTTATTTTGTAGACAGCGGTCGACCAGAAAATTTTTTTATTTCCTTTGGTTGTTTTAATAATGAAAACTCTTGTCGGACAACAATTGGCGAAAAATGGAGACCAACAATTCAGTTAAAAAGTCAAAGCATTGTATTATTTTCAGATATTGACCAAAGATTCTGGATTAAGATATATCGAACAATAACACAAATCGCTTATTTATTTATTGATGGATACGTGATGCAGTCTGTCAATTTAGAATTTGAAACAGCTCAGTACGTTGGTGATCCATATACAAATGGAAGATATTTATTCACTGGAAAATCAAAAGAAGAAAGTGTAACTTTCAAAAATTCCGAGTTTACTCCTTATGTAAAATCTGTATGTGAACGAAATGGGTATAACAGAATTTTATATTTTGGTAAAACAGAAATTAATGTATACGCAAATTTAATTAATACGACTTGTTATTGTAATGCAGAGAATGAAAATATAACATTGGATAATGTTAATACATTCCCGGATTGTAGATACAACAGTTCATTATTTGATTTAAATTTAACAACTATTGGCGAGAATAAAAGTGAAAGTGAAAATATTAACATTTATGTAAATGTTACTCAATGGTTCTCAATAATATTTAAACCCAATAGAAAATATATATTAAATGGTTTAGAAAACAACGAGAATACAATTAATTTTGACACTTTAGAAATATTAGAAAATGAAAATATTATATTTAATTTAAATTGTAATATATCAACTTTGAAAATCACTTCAATTGGGAAATTTTACTTCAAAAAGAATCTTATAATTAACACACAAATTTTGATATCTGAAACAAATTTAACAAACAAAATATTGTTTGCTTTGGATGGAGATTTTTCTGAAGTTAAGACATCACTTTTGTCTAAATGTGGGAAACGAGTGTATTTAACTAAAAGTGAATATAACATGTGTCTTTGTAATTACACTGAAATGGTGTATGGGAACCCTTAGGGTATGATGGAGTGAATCGAGGGGACTGCTTTAACAACAACACACAAAATACTTTGACTCTTCAAATTCTCTCATCACAAATGAATGAAAATTCAACTCCACAAAATTGGAACAGAATTGAAATTAATGTTAAAGATGTTAATGTCACTTCCACTTCAAATGTTACGACAAAAACACTTTCACTTCACAAATGTGCTACTTTTAATGTACCACTTAAAATCACTTCATCAATTGAGTTTTACACGAATGGGTATATTAAAATGACTTCAAAATATTCTTTAACAATTGGCGAAAGTGTTACAATAAGTCTCAATAACATGACAACAATTGGGGATAAAACGGGTCTTATTCAAATTCATAAAGGTGGTATATTTATATCAGACACAATAAATATTATAGTCGTTTTTAATGATTACAAAGACAATTATATCAACTTGATTTCATTTCAAGAAGTTCAAAATTCATCTTCAACACCTTTGTTTAATAATTTACTTGGTGGGAAATTATATCGAGCTTATCTAAACTCTAACAATGTTGATACATCCGTTACATGTACTTATATTGGAGGACAGTTTGATGATTACAACAGATATGAAAATCAAATTCTTCACTGTCCACTTTCTTCTATTAATTCGACAATTGTGATACAAAACACAAAACTCGAACAGAACATTAATTTTATTGGAGTATTTATGCAAAACACAACGCAACTTGATTTTATTAAACAAAACAATTTTAGTTCGAAATTTGAAGATCAAAATGAAAATCTGATTTATATAAACAACTCTTCAAAAAATGGCGAAAATATTGAAATCTCACAAACAAGTAAGAAGTGGATTTTAGGCTCTAAATTTGGGTTTACAACTTCACAAAAGTTATTAAAAAGGGAAATAATAAAAACAACAGATACTTATAAAACAGTGTCATTTAATGAAACAAACCAATGTTTGCTTTTTTATTCCAATTTAGAAGATGGAAGTTGTCATTTATGTAAAAATGACTCATATCTATTGGGTGGAAATTGCGAAATTATAAATTCAAAATGTACAACATTATACAAAAAACAAACTTCAACTGTTTGTGAAGCTTGTGAGACTGGAAGCGAAGCTTATAAAAATCAATGTTTACCATGTCCAATTAATTGTCTTCATTGTGTTAAAGGAAAATGCGTTTTATGTGATAAAGAGTATATTGTTGACGTCAATGGAAACTGTGAAAATGTATTACTTTATGATGATAATTCGTTACTAATTATATCAGGTAAATAAAGCAAGTGCGCCATTGGATATTTTATAAAATCAAATAAGTGTGAAAAATGTGGTGAAAATTGTATGTTATGTTACAACGAAAGTTCTTGTATAATATGTGATAACAAAAGTTTATTGAAAAATGGAGTTTGCACTCCACCAAATGGAGTTATTCTTTCAAACAACGACAATTTAATTATATGTGAAAATGGTTATTACAATAGAGAAAATACTTGTCAAAATTGTTCAACTAAATATGGTGAAATGTGTTCCCTTTGTGATACACACAATTGTCTTAAATGTACATTAAATGGAGTTATTAATAATGAAAGAAAATGCATTGAACTAACACAAAGTGGTTGTGTTCAAAGCTCAAATACTTTTTGTAGCGGGTGTCAACAAGTCTCCAAATATATAAATGAAAGTGGAGTGTGCACTTCAAATATCAATTGTTCAATTTCAACCAAATTTGATAATTGTTTATTATGTAAAAATAATACTATTTATGATAATACATTTAAATGCGTTCCATTAAAAAATCAAGAAGATAATTGTGATCGAATGAATGTTGAAAAAGACCGATGTATCAGCTGTATAACGGCTATTTCTTATCAAATTATCAATGTGAAATTTGTTCTGAAAATTGTATGGATTGTTACAACAAGATTTTGTGTCTTACTTGCAACAAAAATTACTTTTTGTCGGATGGAAAGTGTTTTTCTAATTCAGAAGTCATCACCAATTGCAAGAAACTTGTCCCTTCACAATCTCTGTGCGCTTTATGTGATATTGGATTTTACAGAGACGAATATGGCCAGTGCAAAAATTGCATTGAAAATTGTAATGAGTGCAACACTGAAAAAACGTGTTTAAGTTGTTTTACAAATTACTTTTTACTCGCAAACAACACGCAGTGCATTTCATATGATTTACTTGTAAATTGCGAGGTAAAAAGTCAAAGTGGATGTTTGAAATGTTTAACTGGTTTTTACCAACAAAATCAGTTTTGTGTCACTTACAATTTGACAACTTTTAATTGTTCCACTTGTGGAACAACTGGAATATGCACTTCATGTGTAGAATATTATATCTTGTTAGACTCCAAATGTTACTCAAAAAGTTCAATTGAAAATTGTGTTGAAGTGACAAACTCTAAATGCACGAAATGCGCATTTTGGCACACGCCAAATTACTCAAACACGTCTTGCCATACAAAGGTAGTGTGGTGGGTGATATTAATAGTTGTGATATTTGTTATTATTATCATAACTCTTATTGTATTCATTGTACTCTTTGTCTCTGTTCAAATTAATCGCCACTATCATATTAAAAAAGTGCAAGAAAAGACGTGCATTTTTGATGTCAGAAAGTCGAACATTCAATTCACCAAAACTTCAATTTCTGATGTTTTTGTGAATAAAAATCAAATTAAATTTGAAGGTGAAAACGACGAGGAAACGATTCCAGTCGACAAAGAGTCGCGCGAGTTATTATGTGTTGGAAATTTCGGAAAGAACACAATTAAAGTGCAATTTTCCTCAAAAGACAACACAGAAAAATATACCATAAGAACAGAACCTCTTGTAATTTCTCTAAAAAAGAACAAAGCAGTCGAATTTGAAATTTTTATTCGACCAAATTGTTCGTGCAAAATTAAAGATAAAATCACATTGTTTTCTGTGAATTTTAAAAGTGGAATAACCAAAGAAACTCAAATTAATTTGGTTGCTATAACTCAGATATCAACAAAATTGGATAATGAAGAATTAAATGAAGACAAAAAGCTTGGTGAAGGTGGTTTTGGTATTGTTTACAAAGGAACTTACAAAGGAAACGAAGTTGCTATTAAAAAATTGAAAGAAATGGTTGGAAACTCGTTATTGTCATTTTTTGAAAAAGAAGTTACAATGTTAGATAAATTCAGAAGTGAGTATATTGTCCATTTCTATGGCGCCGTATTTATTCCAAACAAAGTATGTATGGTGACTGAATTTGCACCATTTGGGTCTTTACAAGACTTAACGAATCATAAACCAAGTTCAGATGTTTGTATTAAACTTCGAATAAAAATGATGATAGATGCAGCAAATGCATAGTGTGGCATTTTGGTACTTTTTTACTCGAAGAAAATAATCGGCAAATATATATATTTATAACTCCCCAGAAGTTCTGTTATTAATAGATATGAAGAAACTATATTTATAAATTGTTACCTCTCCACATTAATAATTATATAAAGTTCGTTATAAATAAATAACATTTATAAAATATTGTTATTTATTAGATATATAATATAAAAATTATATATATTAACAATATTAAACTATTTAAAATAACAACAATTCAATTATTTAATATTTTATCTCGTTTTCTCGTTTTCTCGTTTTCTCGTTTTCTCGTTTTCTCGTTTTCTCGTTTTCTCGTTTTCTCGTTTTCTCGTTTTCTCGTTTTCTCGTTTTCTCGTTTTCTCGTTTTCTCGTTTTCTCGTTTTCTCGTTTTCTCGTTTTCTCGTTTTCTCGTTTTCTCGTTTTCTCGTTTTCTCGTTTTCTCGTTTTCTCGTTTTCTCGTTTTCTCGTTTTCTCGTTTTCTCGTTTTCTCGTTTTCTCGTTTTCTCGTTTTCTCGTTTTCTCGTTTTCTCGTTTTCTCGTTTTCTCGTTTTCTCGTTTTCTCGTTTTCTCGTTTTCTCGTTTTCTCGTTTTCTCGTTTTCTCGTTTTCTCGTTTTCTCGTTTTCTCGTTTTCTCGTTTTCTCGTTTTCTCGTTTTCTCGTTTTCTCGTTTTCTCGTTTTCTCGTTTTCTCGTTTTCTCGTTTTCTCGTTTTCTCGTTTTCTCGTTTTCTCGTTTTCTCGTTTTCTCGTTTTCTCGTTTTCTCGTTTTCTCGTTTTCTCGTTTTCTCGTTTTCTCGTTTTCTCGTTTTCTCGTTTTCTCGTTTTCTCGTTTTCTCGTTTTCTCGTTTTCTCGTTTTCTCGTTTTCTCGTTTTCTCGTTTTCTCGTTTTCTCGTTTTCTCGTTTTCTCGTTTTCTCGTTTTCTCGTTTTCTCGTTTTCTCGTTATACGTATTTACGTTTTTGTTATATTTTGTAACAAAAAAATATAAATCAAATATTTATTTGATTTATATTATCTTTCATTTGTTGTATTCACAATTAAACATTAAATGTGTTAATTTGTATATCAACTAATCAACTTTTACTTATATGTAGTTCACTTTTTTATTGTTAATTGAATAATACCACATATTTTGTTTTCTGTTTATATATATATCATTTTTGAATCACAACACACAAATTGTTCATTTTAGTAAATACACTTTTTTAGAATGTGTTATGTAAGATTACCACTAAATCTATTTAATACTTTTCAATAACTTTAAGTCTAATTGGAATTTGGAACCATATTTGTTTCAATTTGTCACAACTCATATTTTAATACGACACATAGTTCATTTTTCGTATGTATATTTTAATTTTAAATTGTACCATGATATCAATTTTTGACATCCATACATTTAAATACATACATTTTACATTACTGTTATAAGAATTAAATATTGTTTCCAATTTTCGCTTTTTATTGTATTTTATGATTATACAATAATCACATTTATCATAATTTTGTTGTTTTTATTTTTAAAAAACAAGTGTGTTTAAATATCATATCATTAAGTCATAAATAATTATCTGCAGTTGATTGTTTATCATGTTTTTTTATACATTATGACAACTATCAATTTAATATATTTTATAATAATATGATATTTTATTATTTTTCTAGTTTATAATATAATATAATGTACAATATACATACATAGATGTATGTAAATATCATATCATTTCATTTGATAATCGTAACTGTACTTTCAAACAAATTATTGCAACAAAAAACAAACCAATTTGTGTATGTATATATCTCAATAGTCTTCGATAATAATATGATTATCGTGTTCACGTATTTCTATTTATTTTTATCGTTTTTGTGTGTGGAAGGATTCATTTTATAATTATAAAACCAAAATAATATAATATATTAAAAAAATCTATTTAGTATCTATTGAATTTCGTCAACATTAAAACATTAATGTTGTGATAAATAAATATTATATATTGCAATTTAATACATAATAATATAATTATAAAACATTGTAAATAAACAATTACATAACATTTAAATTTCGTGTGTTTTCATTATTTCAATTTCCTTATAAAAATTAACTATCTTGAAAAAAACAAAACACAATGAGCAATCCAAACGATTTGATTTTCGATGTAAATTCTTTTAATTATTTTAAAAAAGGATATTTATTAGCCAAATATCAAGGTGTTGAGTTTTCTTTTTGTTTGCGAGATGAATTGTGGATGCTTTTTTCATCATGTAAAAGTCATGAATCCGATGTTCATAACAAACTCAGAACATGTTTTCAACCATTATATGGTGAAAGTTTCCCAAAAGAACTCAATGAAGAACCGGTTATTCTAAACGAAAATGAAATTATCCAATTGTACTCTACTTTTATTGATGAACAAAATGATTCTGATGTGTGTATTTATTTTATTAAAACTCCAGATCACAAATTACAAAAGAAAAAAATCGTATTTTTATTTTTTAATAAACTTAGTCAAACAAATATTGGTTGTCATTGATTGTCAAAAAAGCAACACAATATAATATACCACCGGCACTTCCTTTGATTTTTAGAAATTCATTAAACTCGAATATTGAAAACGTATCAAGACTAAATCCTATACATATCACGAATACACTAAATATTGAAAACGAATATTCTTATGTCCAAGAAAACAGTGATGTATTATCATCAAATACATCTGAAAGTGATGACTATTCTCTTGAAGAATATTTTGAGGAATCCGAAGAGACATCAGAAAATATATTAATGGATACTACACTTCCTAAAACTACACCACAACATGAAACAATCGATCAAATAAACGAACTTGTTAAAAATAAATTTACCGAAACAATTTCATCGGATATATTAACCAAAGATCCCATAAATATAGCTGAAAAAATAAGGCAATTTTGTTGGGTTAATGACACTTTTTTAGTTGATCGCTTTGTAACTTCTTTTTGGTTTGTATTTGATACTAAACAATCAAGGACTTATAAAGATAGGAATATCAATGAACATAGAATGAATCATGTTACTTCATATATTATCAATTCCCTTGGAATTGAGGCGCATTTTTCGCAAAATCAAACTAAAATGATAAAAACTATAATTGATGTAGCGGTATCTTATATCATCAAAGATAAAAGACGAGACGTTGAATGTTTAAATATAGATTATAGAACAGCTAAAAGGCAAATGACACGCGAAAATACGCATTTCCTTGAAAAATTGAATCAAATAATGGAACATAAAGTTGATTGTGTTGCTATTGGGTTTGACTCATCTTTTAAGAATAAACACAAAGATGTTTATTCAATTGAAATGAGGTATTTATATAATGGTAAAATAAAATTGTGTCCATTGGTTTTAAAAACTTATGACGGTGTTACATCAGGAAAAGATGTTGCAAAATGATTAAAAAATGAGTTGGATATAGCAAATATTCCACATATCAAAGTTGTTGGTGAAACAACCGATGGAAATGCTACCGAAATTGGAGTTGAATCTGGAGTGATCAAAGAATATAATGATTTGGTGAAAGATGTTAAAACAAACCATTTTGATGTTATAGAACAGCCTGTCCATGGTATTTGGTGTTATTTTCACAGGTGTCATCTGTGTGGAGAAGATCTTTCTAGTGACTCTGATGCAGGGCCAATTGTCATTTTTATCAAATGGTTCTGTTCAACGAAAATACTTGACGACTTTTAAAAAAACAAAAAAGATGTTAAATGTTACAATTGATACTTTTGCAAAAACACGTTTTTGTATATTTGTAGAAACATTAATAATGTATTGGAACATTATGAAGAAATTGTGTCATATGTTTCAATACTCAGAGTTAAAACAGAACTTGAGAGTGAATTTAAAAACAAAAAAGTTGGTACATATAGCAAAACAATAACACGTAATACAACTGAGTGCACTTTTCCTTTTTATTTTGGTGATAATTCTTTAAAAACAAAAAATAAATTGAGAGTTTTGTGTCATTTATATAAAATGATGTTTGTTTTATGTTCGACTTTTCAAAACAGCGAAGGATCTCTCCCTGAATATTATGAAAGAACGACAATGTTTAGAAAATACCTTTCTACATGTTTACATCAACTTAGAATGGGAGATTTTAAAGAATTCAGAGACATTAAAGATATTCTAATTGTTGATATCGGTTTTACTGAAAGACTGTTATTGCGTTTGATAATTAACACAGAACTTAGATTTAAATACGCAAACATGTCAGTCAATATGAATTCAATAAATAATATGGTTGATTATTCTACTGGATACATAAACGAAGATGTTTATAAGAATAATGAAACACATAACAATTTGAATCAAATATTATACATACATTATATTCCAGATTTGTTATTAAAAGGAATTAACCCAGATATAAATTGTTACAACAATTATTTATTTCAAAATGATGAATTGTTAATTTTAAAAAACTTGTTATCACGTTTGAACGTTGAAGACAAAAAAGAATTATTAATAACAGTATTAATAATCAACTACAATCAGAATATGACCGAATATTGATCGAAAAGACTAATTATATAACAAAAGTGCGTTTGTTGGACGTCTTTCAAATATTAAAAAACAATCAATTATCACAACTTATTAAAATAGTTGACGTCCTTCTAACCATATTTCCTTCAACAAGTGATGTGGAAAGAACATTCAATCGAATAAACCAAATTAATCATTTAAACAGTCCATTAAAATTTACAGCAGAAAGATTGAATTATTCAATAAAAAGCAAAAAGACAATATACAAAATTAATTGTTAATTATTTTAATTTGCTTTTTATAATTTAATTTGTAATTTTAAATATAATGTATTAACAATATACACAAAAAAATATTTTTTTTACAACAAAATAAATAGATTTCAATTAAAAAGTTTGTATATAACAAAATTTGATTATTTTTATAATTATTTAAAAATATAAATGTGAAATTTAAATTATTTATCTCAATTTTTTTAAAAAATATATAATTCTAATTAATGTTAAATGTTTATGATTATAATATAATAAATTTAAGTTTTTTTTAGTAAAAAACGTGTTAAAAATTTAATAATAAAGTTAAATGAAAACATAAATAATTCAAAAACAAATAATAATTTAAACGACAATTAATTTCCCGAACTTGTGGACGTTGTTTTTATATTACAAACTTTTTAAGCACAAAATGCTTTATATAAATAGTTTTCAGTCTTATATAAATAAAAAGTTTAAAAAGCCACACTATGAGCAAATGGGATAAGTTATTTACACTCAAATGGGATATTACACAGAGACATCAAGCCAGACAACATATTAGTGTTTTCATTGGATTTAAATGATAAAGTGAATGCTAAATTGACTGATTTTGGAAGTGCCAGAAATGTGAATTTGCTGATGACTAACATGACATTCACTAAAGGTATTGGAACACCAGTGTATATGGCACCTGAAGTTCTTTTGAAACAGAAATACACAAAAAGTGCAGACATATTCTCATTTGCAATAACAATGTATGAGTGCTTCAAATGGGGAGAGGCGTATCCAATCAATGAATTCAAGTTTCCATGGAAAATAGCGGAGTTTGTTATGGAAGGCAAAAGACTGAACAGATGTGAAGTAATATCAGAAGGTATTTACAACATTATTCAACTTTCGTGGAAACAAAATCCAAAAGAAAGAATTGATATCAACGAGGTTATTAACAACATGCAAAGTGTTTCTAATACATCAACGTGAATTGTTTTATTAGTTTTATTAGGAAAATTATATATACAGATGGGCAACTAATTTGTCTACAGGAACTAATTTGTCTTATAAACCTTTTAGCATATTAATTTCCCATTTTTAAGTCACAAATTCCCCAATATTTTTTTCAGTTCCATCTCCAAAATCGTAATTTGTCTACTTTCTAATTTTAAACCAAACAACCCAAACTAAAAAACTTTTTATCTAAAACTTAAAAATTAATTTATAAAATACGCTTTACCAACAACAATGGTATATTGTTGCTGTCAGTTGTGTCAACTTTTTGTTTTGTTCGTTAATACAATAACATAAATGTTTAAATCAGTCAAAATATAATGGCTTTTCACGCCATTACCTTTACAACTTGATTTTTTTATTAAAATATGTGAATTATAGTAAATAGTAAATTTAGTAGACATTTGGTTTCGTTCCCAATTTCAAATAATGACGAACAGTCACATTGAGTTAGTGGGTACAAAGTGAGACAGCACCGAAAAAAAAGCTCTGGAAGCCGCGTCAAAACAGTCTATTTGTGCACCCGTTCCACACGTTCCAGTCCTCCCTTGGCGCGGATCTCCTGACCCCCTTCCTTTTTAAACAGGGTGGAATCACATCCACGTCCACGCGGTACGGACAGAAAAGTAGGTGACATAGGGAAGCACAAACGGTTGCGTTGATGTAGACTTTATTAAAAAGTATTGAGGCAAATGCTTTACTCTGAAAATTGGGATGAGGGTGGGAATGAAAGGTCATAGTAGAAACACTTGTTATGTGCTATAATTAATTTAATTGTTATCATACTTTTTTTAACGCATTTTTCTGACTGTTGTTTATTATCATTCAAATCAATGCTTGGTGTTTTTTCCTTGTATTCTTGAATGTGGTTTTTTAATTTTTTATTTTTCATCCACAACACAGTAATGTCCCGTTTTATTCGATAAAAATGTGTCACAAACAAAAAATGTTTTTTTTATAGATATATTCCAAGTAATTTTTTACAAAAATATTACTAAAAAAGACAAATCTGAATAAATCTAATAAATATTTTGAGTATAATAAAATATAGTAAATTTTAATATTTAAGGGTGTAGACAAATTAGTTCCAGCAAGACAAATTATTCTCCATACTGTAATATTATATATTTTATTAAATATTGTTTAATACAGTCAAAGGCGTTTATTTGTCGGTTTTACGACACAAAAACGAGCCTATTTGTCAGTTTTTATAGAATTTTGTGGAATATTCCATTAAAAATATTGGTTGTTTAAAAAATATTTTTTTGGTTTTTAAATATTGATTATATAATAAGTGAAATAAAAATGATAAAATTGTTTTCTTTTACCAATTATTATCAATCATAAAACAAAATTTTGACATAAATTACCATATATAAAATAGTGCCGTTTTACTGAAAAGATTTATGTAAAAAATGTTTATATTAAACTGATACATACCATCTTGTATATTGTAATGTCTATTAACGATAAAAAACCCAGAAAGGTTTACCAAAATATCACACCAGAAGCACATGCCACAATAAAGAAACTTTATTCGAAATATAGTGGCCTCGAAAAGAAGAATTTTTGGTGTAAGGTGAGAGATGAATTCTCAACTTTATACCCCAAGTACAACTTTAGTTTGGATCAATTGCAGGCTTATCAAAAACATGAAATAAAAGAAACGAAGCATCAGAGAACGTCACCCAATGCCGAAGTTGTTTTGCATTTGGAACGATATGTAAACACTTCAATTCTTGCGGGAAACTATTTGGATGATTATGTACTCCAAATTGAAGTTGCCAAATACATCGAAAACAAAGAATTTACAATTAAAGACATACATTCGTTTGTTAAAAGATTTAAAGAAAAAATCAACTTGAAATACCACATATCTTCTGGACACGAGGACGTTATAGATTTAACTCTTTACGCGACAGAACTTGATAACATAAAAGAAATATTGTCAAGATACTCATTTTCTGACATTTATAACGCAGACGAAACTGGTCTATTTTACAGACAGTTGCCAATGCGTTCACTGACAACAAGAAAATTTCTCAAAACCACAAACATTCAAAAAGAGCGAATAACTCTATTGTTCTGTTGTAACATGGATGGAAGTGATAAAAGACCACCAATTGTAATACACACTGCTCACATGCCAAGAGGTGGATCAAACAAATTATTTCAACAACTGAACATTGTTTATAAAACAGATAGTAGTAGCTGGATGTCAGTATTAATCTGGAATGAGTTTTTGCAGTTGTGGGATGATGATTTAAGAAGAATTGGTCGATTTATTGTTTTGATTATTGATAATGCACCCGTCCATAAAGTGACTGTTGTTTTAACCAATATCAATTTGATCAACTTGCTTCCAAACACAACAGCAAAAACTCAACCATTGGATCAGGGAATAATTGCTTCGTTTAAAAAACATTACAAAAAACATTTCATCACTTATTATCTTAATTCAATTCAACAACAAAAAATTCAAGAAAAAAAGAAAAAGAAAGATTTGCTCGAAACAATTTTTAACGAAGTTGGAGAATCAACAATAACAACATTGATGAATGAGATGAAAATCACAACAATTAATTAGCTCGTTGAATCTTTATCAGAAGCAAGTTACGATGTTATCAAATCTAAATTACCAGTAAATGAACATTTTTAAAAAGAAGTGTGATGTGTCCATTCAAACAACTGAGTGTTGTTGAAGCTATAACAATTATTTTAAAATCTTGGAGTGAAATTACGAAAGAAACAATATGCAACTGTTTTAAACACACAAATTTGTTTGCGCAACAAAGCATTGCTGCAATACAAGAAGTTGAATTGGATATCAACATTTACAATTTGTATTGCAGCGTACCTATGAACGAAGAAGATAGAGTTCAAACAATCGAAGAGTTTACTTCAACTCAGTATGAAAATATCAATCCATTTTGCCATATTCAAGAAATAACAGAAACAGAAAACTTTCATGATCAAGAAACCGAGTCTTTCATGGTGCAATTAGAAACATTGTTGTATTATTCATCCCGCTTTGTTGACTCAAACAAAAAAGATGACTTTCATAATTATATACTCAATGTTTTAAGAACAGTTAGAAACTTTTTTAATTAATTATTCATTAAAAGTTCAAGTTTCCAGAATAAAAAACCTATTTGTCGGTTTTGAATTTTGATTGGTTAGTTAACCAACAAATAGAGAAACCGACAAATTAGCGCCTTTGACTGTATATAAATCAACAAATTTAAACATACAGTCAGTCTGGAAACTTTATTTATCTTTTTCCCTTTGAAAAAAATGCGAATTTGGGATGTTTAATTAATATTACTATTATTTAAACTATTTTCCAATAACACAACCAAAAACACAAATGGGGTTAAAGTCATTTAGCCAATCATTTCATTTTTTCTGTTTGTCAATAAATGGTGATAATAGTGGCGTTATTACCCCAAATTAACAGGAAATTACATAAAACAAACCGAGTTTTTTGGATCATTTTTTGAAGAATTTCGCTTTTAGGCGTGGGTAAACTTATTAAATGTATTCTTACAAAGAGCGAAATGACGTCCACGCAGCCAAAACAATTTATTATAAACAACTTTTACTCGACTGCAGAACAACCATTCAATGTTCGAGTCTGCCAAGCGTGGTGTTCTGTTTGATTATGATTTGTCTCAATGTTTTTTTATTTTTGTTTGATGAAATAACAGTTGGTTATTGTCGAATTCTTTTGTTGCATTTGTCATTTTACACAAAAAATCCGCCCAACAACGACACCACTCTCTGGTGTTATACGCGATATTTGAGCGTAAAAAATCGAATTGGTCAATTTGTTTAAGTTCGTTTTGATTGAAAAAACAAAGATTTCAAACGAAAAAAAATAAAATTGAAAAACCAAACCAAATAACAAAAAAATAACCTATTTTTGTAGATAAATAAGGTTTTTGCAATAAATAATGTTTCCAGCATGATTAATCAAAAGCCTGTTTACTAAATCATCCAGTCCCAAAACTGCAGCTTATTTTTGGATTAAACTTATTTTTTTGATCATAATTATATTGTTTTTTGTAATTTTAATTATATTTATTTAATATATATAGTCAAATTCAAAAATCTGAATAAAAAAGCGTCCGATTATCTTATCTTATTTTCAATTTTTAAAAACATTAAAAAACTTGGTTTATAAACAACTATAAAATGTTTTATTTAATTTAATTGTTGTACACAAAAACTAAACTACAGTTATAGTTAAAAAATCAATTTGAATGTATAGATAATTATTTATTTTCTAACATTCCAACAAATGTGATTCGAAAGAATCCACGAAGTTGTTTACAAAGTAAATTAGTATTGAGTTTAACGCCTTTTGTGCTTCATAGAATAAGTCTTTTTGTTTTATCAAAAGGGTTAATATTAAACACTGTTTTTTTTTCACAATCCTTACATGTTTTCATTGGGATTTAAATCTGGACTGCTGACTGGCCAGTCGTGAAGAAATTAAAAATATATTTTTTTGAAGAACTTACGAGTTGATTTGGCATTAAGACAAAAAGCATAATCTCGAACAAATTGATAAATTTGCATTCTTTTTTACTTGATCCATCAGAAGATTGTCAATAACTATTTTGATAATTATTTGAGTTCATGTTAGTAGGACATTTTATTAACCAACCCTTATAATTGTTACCATTTATCTCAAAAGCTATCACGCTTGCGAATTTCTTCAGATAAAAAGAAATGTATTTCTTTGTTTACACCCCCTTTTTCATATTGAACTGATTTTTATCTGTTAAATATTTTTTTTTCACAAATCATATCATTGTTAATTTTAAATTTATTAATTTTAATATTCTATTAAATAATAAAAGATGCGGTTTTATTACAATTACATTTAATGATTTTAATAATTCGACTTTTAAATTACTATGTTATTTTTAGTTTCAAAATTTAACAAGTTAATTTATCAGTGTTTTTGTTGTATATTTACTTATTTTTATTATATCAATTTTGTTTTGAAAATAAGAAATAATAATCAGGTTTTTTGTCTTCAAAAAACCTTTCGAATTATAAATAAGCTCGGGAAAAAAAATA